GAACAACAATTTTAAAGTCTATTATAATATAGATAGCAAATTCTATAAATGGAGAGCAGTAAGTGTTAAAAAATCTAGTTTAAGCTTGCAATTCAAGTTGTCTCCAGCTTTAGTTGACTGAATCCATAAAATAGATCATAAATCTATTACAGATTGTAGATCTTAGATAAATATCAGAGTATACAAACCTGATATGTGTTTTACAAAAGTATACTAGCCTACACTCTCTTCAGAGTACCACCTTCTCGAACAAGTGATACGACTCCCGATTGTCCCACAGGCTCAGCTATCACCAGCACATTGTGCGATTGGTGCCGACTTCGTATGGGCCGCTGCTGCCTCCATCGCCGGATCCGAATTTCAAGTATATCGATGGGCTGCTGCCTGGAGCGAATTTGGCCAAGCATCTGCTGGAAGCAATACGCTCCAAGTGTGCGCCGGAGCTGGTGGGCGGCCTGATGGAGGCCACCACAGAGCTGAACGATGGGCTGAAGATCAATGTGCTGATGCAGACCCTTTTGCACTTGGGCTGCAAGTCCTTTACGCATATCTTTTCTCTGCTTGGCAAATTTCAGCCAGTGCTGAAGGTGAGTGTCTGTGAGCAGTTGCCCACCCAGCGGATATACCCACTCAAATGTTATCCAACAGGTGCTGGCCAACAGCGATGCCAATCAGCTGGCCATGATGCAGGCTTTGTTTGAGGTCTGGTCGAACAACGAGCACGTCAAGCTGGTGGTCACCGACAAATTGCTGAAAATGCATATTGTGAGCAACCACGCTGTGGTGGCCTGGGTGTTCGATTCCTCGCTCAAGTCGGAGCTGGTCAAAATGTATTTGTGGGAGCTGCTGAACCTCACCGTCAGATACACCAAATACCATATGCGTGAGGCCGAGGACAATCAGAGCATAGACTTGAATGCTCTGCTCCTGAAGATCGTGCAGACTTGTGTAAAGGATCTGATGGATCATCGCAAGTCGGAGCAGAGTTCGCAGGTTGATTACTGGTTCCAGTGGATCCAAGGACGCCTGCTGCAGCTGCTCTTCAATTATATCGAAGATGTGCGCAAAATCAGCAGCAAATTGCGTGAAATTGCTTTCGAAGCGGAGGAGGCCAAGAGTTTGTCCAGTATGATCAACGACTACCTAAACTATATACAATAGACTAGAGGACAATTGCTATGTATAATGTGTACATACATACATACATATATGTCACATAATCATATCATACATCATCATCTCATTCATACTATGTTCATTGAACATATCAATCTATCAAACAACTATGATGTATGCATATAACATATAAGATATATAACTTATGTGATACATAGGTATGTGTCTAAAATCGGTATTGAATACATATTCATAATCCATTCAGCAGGCATTAAAAGACATTACATTTCTAAACATCTTGCTAATACATTATTCATCAATTCCAAAGAATGATATATGTATACATAAGTGCATTATTCATACCAAAGATTCTGAATTATTATAATTATTGTAAACTCATATAATATAATTTGTATACAAACGCATATGTGAAGAATCTATATTAAATATATATCTATAATTTTAAAGAAATAATTTACAAATCTGCATATACATATGTATATCTCTGATCTATTTCAAATACATATATAAGGTAATCTAGGTGATAGCCTTTACTCCTTCTAGTCACATTCTTTGTCTGATATTTTCTTTATATTATATGCATATTTCTTTGTTTGATTTCGTCTCTCAAACCATTCCGAACTCCAGCCACCTGCCATACGCCCACAAGCCATTTATATGGAGCCGCTTGGGTCTGACATAAATGCCATGTTGTACAGTATGTCTATTTGTTGTTCAACTGACGCCGATGGGTTGGTTGCACAAACATGTCGAGTTAGAACCCGCTGCTCCATCTCTGTGTATGCATGTGTGTGTGTGTGTGTGTGTGTGTGTTATTTCGCGCTTGTGGTGCTAAATTGGGTGATAACTCCTTTTTAATGGTTAAGCTTTTGTTGTTGTAGCTGTTGCTGTTGCTACTGCTGCTGCTCTGGTCTAAGTTTTATTTTTATTTGCGCCGCTAAAACTCAATTTTCGAATCAAACAACCACGCGAGGATTTCTCTCCCTCTCCCGTTCGCATTGTCCCTGGAATTTGCCAGCCTGTCGCTTTGCTCTGTTTTTCCTGATGATATGGCCTCAACAATGTTGTGTGTTGTTCTTATTTTGTTGCTGCTACTACTGCTGTTCCTGCCGCTGTTTGCCATTGGTTTTATTGTTGTTGATGGGCGCCGTTGCCGTTGCTGTTGCTGTTGCTGTTGCTGTTGCTGCTCCCATTGCCTTTGGCCGTCGACGTTGTCACAAATGCAAATAATGGCACAATTGTGCTTGTGCAGCTCTTAACTGCTTTTATTATTTAATTCCTCAATATAAGTGCGCTGTATGATTGTCTATGTGCCACTAACAACACACACACACACACACATGCAGAGAGACACACTAATGTGTTACACACATTGTAATCATTCGCATACGGCAGTTTCTCCCATTTATGAAGCATTCCTCTCAATCTTTTATTGCTTTAATGCATTTACTAATGTTGAACAGAAAAAAAGAAAAGTATAAATTTATTGGTAAGGGGGTCGATTTAGGAATGGAGGTGAATTATAATAAATACACAAATATGTAGTTAAGGCAGATGCATGACAAAAGATGAATGATACGACACTCGACACTCATTTATAAAACTTGTGGATATATTGATCATAATTTGCTCGTTCATAATAACATCCCCATGAATGCCTCTGAAAGTGTGGACCAATTCCTTCAGTGAATATGAAAAAAACAAAACTTGGAACTTTTGTTAAGGCAGCTGCATGACAAAAGCTGAATGATACGACACTCAATGGAAGGTTCATTTATAAAACTTGTGGATATATTGATCATAATTTGCTCGTTCATAATAATATCCCCATGAATGCCTCTGAAACTGTGGGTCAACTCTTCCAGTGAATATGACAAAAACAAAACTTGAAACTTTAGTTAGGGCAGCTCCATGACAAAAGCTAAATGCTACAAGACTATGGATGGTAGAAATATTGATCGGAATTTGCTCGCTAAATAAAAGGCGTAGCGTTATGATTAAGAAACTGTTCTTATATGCTACAAATGCCACAAAAACAAAGCTTGAAACTTGAATTCGGGTAGCTAAATGACAAAAGCTGAATGCTATAAGACTCGATGAAAGGTACATCAAGACTATATCAATGCTAAAGACTGCATATCATGAAACTTGTTGATAAATTGTAAGACTTATTTGCAAACCCAATAAGTCTTACAATCTATCAACACATCAAGCCATCAGTTTATCAACCAATCAATTTCGATCAGTAATACTCGATTTCAATACCTATAAATCGATTTCGATAACTATTTATCGATTGCGAGCTCTATTGATTTCGGTAACTGTTTATTGATTTCAATATTCATTGACATCAATGGAACATATTGAAAATTTGATCATATTTACTTGAAACTTGGGTTAAGGCAGCTTCATGACAAAAGCTGAATGCTATGACACTCGACAGAAGGTGCATTAAAAGAACTTGTGGAAATATTGAGCATAATTTGCTCGTTCAGAAATAGCACCACATAGTCCTCAGAAACTGTGGGCCAACTCTTCTAGTGAACGTGACAAAATAAAACTTGAAACTTGAGTTAGGCCAGCTACATGACAGAAGCTGAATGCTACAAGACTCAGAGTAAGGTACAGCAATGCCAAATGCTTGTGGCGAAATGTATTCTCATTACTCACGAAATAGAACACAATCATATGATTCACAGAATGAATGAATGCTCTTAATGTAGGTCAGCTAGCGAATTTATAGCAGAAGCTAAATGCGTTGAGCCTGCATGACAGAAGCTGCATGAAATGACACTCGACGGATTGTATATATGTAAGCTTTGTGTACATTTACATTTCTCTAATCATATGTTTGTGAGTTTTACATGCATAT